TTTCTGTTTGTTTGGCCGTTAAAGCTAAAGCAAGATTCCTAGCAAATCAGGTTAGCCAGCTCTACTACCTCGTTGTTGTAACGAATCAATTCGGGGTTATTGCTGAACATGAATTCCAATAGTGCTTCCATACAAGATTATTTTTATGGAAGGATACAAGTTCTCATTATCCAATACCGTTTCTACTTCCTCTTTCATTAATGATATGTTTCCCATTTCTTTGACCACAATCCCTGTATCCTGCGCTACTAGTCAAAGAAATGCAAAACATCAAACCAACGCACAGCCTGCTTTACATCCCCTCGCAATCAAATGGTCCGTATCGTTATAAGTCTCAACTGACCACGTTCTTCAGTCAGTTTCGGAAATCAGATGCTATTTGGAGGAAACTAAGCAGCATCCTAAAAAATATCCTTTTAGTCTACGTCTTACGTGGCAGCGTCCAGCGACTGCGAGCGGAAATAATCTTTGTACGCGCTTCCAACTCGCGAGCGACTTCTGTCCAGAGTGGACGCGTGTTGTTTACAAGATGGCGGCGAGATTTCGTCGAATGCTACTATGGAAAATATGACAAGCAGAATTAAAACGGTAAATTTGAAAGGTAAATGTTATCACTAACTAGATATACAATAAATATAAAAAATCTTTATAGAATAATAAGTTAAAAAAATGTTTTATTTTTAAAACGTTACATTTATACAAAATCAGAAATTATTATCAATAAATTACGTAAAAGATTATTAATTAAAGCACATACATACAACATATATACACAATTTATATATCATTTTGTTTTGATTTATCTACAAAATCAGTCATTTTCTTTTTTGGAAGCACGATCAATGGAAGTGGCGATCAAACTTACTGGTAGCTGCTTCTTGCGCGCGCGTGTAGAAGCGTAAGATCGAGGGGGGTGAGATAAAAGGGGTCGTGTGCTTTATCTCGAGTAGGGTCGGAATTAATGACGACTTTACTTGTTATTCACATTTACAATTATTTATAAAACCCATCCCTACCCTCAAAATTAAGCTTTTGGGCATTTATAATAGTTAAAATTTTAAAAAGTTTTAAAAATAAAATATTATGACAGATGGTGCCATCAAACGTTGCCGGGAAAGTTAAGCAACTCGTTGCTGGAATTTTTTTACGAATTTTGAAATTTTTTTTAAAGTGAAAACTATAAATTAAAAATTAATTGCAGTTAATAATAAGATTAAAAATGTAATTGATTTATAATGGAATACTAACTATAATTGGTATAAATTTTATAGTGTTCCTAGATTGTTATTGTTTGGTATTTTAACCACAGCTGTGAAAAGTCATTAATCCAAATTCCAGTGCTCTTTAGGTTATGAAGGAATTTGAGTCAAAGTAATTTTAAACTGATTCTGTGTGGATTGTTTTACATCTTACTAAATAAATAAATTATCTGTAATAGAATGTTTTACACCATATATGGTACCATTAAGAGTATATGATAATATCTGAAAAATCAGTTATCTGAACAACCCCAGACCTGAATTGTTTCGGATAATTGATGCTCTACTGTATTGATTCAGATCTGATTTAATGTACAATTGATGTTTAATCATTGGAGAGAAAAATATTTTAGAATAATTTAAGATCTGTTTTATGAAAATGGGCTATAAATGTTAGTTTTTATTTTATGATTCTGTTCTTAAACAGAAATAAATTTTCATGAGAGATATTTATTTTTTTTTGTTGGTGTTAACAAAACTTCAGCCTTTACAAAATACTGTTATTAAAATTCAACTCATATTGTTAAAGTATTGTATAATATTTGAAGATTTTAATGATCTAAAGTTGACTTTTATAATGTGTAATATAATTTAAATTAAACAATTAAATAATAAAACTTACAGTAATTAAATTATGTTCAATTGGTGTAAAACAGTTTGGAAACATAGGCTACATAATAAATAATATTTTACTATTTAAATAAGGTATAAAAAGAAACTTATAAGATTTTAAAATATAGGGGAGATCGGGGCAAGATCGGCATGTTAAGCTTTACTTAAATTTTGTGTAATAAATACTGCTGTAAACTGAAAAAAAAGCTTTGCATATTGTCTATTGGAATGTTACCTTACTATAGAACTGGTTAAAATCAGTTTGGAAATAAAAATAATTAAAATAATTACAA